GTACATGTAGCATCTCACTTTTCCCTACCCCCTGGGAAGTTCCAGCTGTTTCGAGTCTGTTCTTTCTCTCTCCCTTGCTCAAAGCCCAACTGTCTACGGTTGCTTCCCGCTCTCATTTTCTTGACCACTTTCCCCTCTCATTCTCATGCCATTGCTGTGTACACAGATGGCCTAAGTCTTCTGATGGCGTAGGATTCGCAGCAGTGTTTCCGGACAGCGTCGTACAAGGGCATTTACTATCTTCGGCTAGTATTTTTAACTGCTGAATTGTATGCCATCCTTACAGCAAATTACCCGTATTGCATCTACGCCTGTGTCATCATTTGTGGTTGTCTCAGACTCCCTTAGTGCTTTACAGGCTATACAGAAATTTGATACACCTCACCCCTTAGTCCTCCGTATCCAACTTTGGCTACGCCGCATCTTTACCAAGCATAAAGATATTGTTTTTTGTTGGGTCCCTGGTCATGTTGACGTACAGGGCAATGAACAGGCAGACACTGCTGCGCGGTCAGCAGTACATGACCTACCAGTTTCATGGAGAGGTATTCCATTTATGGACTATTTTGCTGCAATATCTTCCCAACTTTACACCCGTTGGCAACAACGTTGGTCTACTATGCTCGGCAACAAACTTCAATTTATTAAACCGAGTATAGGTTACTGGCCGTCTTCTTATCACCAGTGTCGAGGTTGGGAGACTACTCTCTCCCGTCTTCGCATTGGCCATACTCGTCTTACTCATGGATATCTCATGGGGAAAGGCGCCCTGCTCCTCTCTGTGAGAATTGCCAAGTTCCATTATCAGTCAGCCACATTCTGTTGGACTGCCCACTTTATCAACGAGCACGCAGAATTTACCTCCATTGTCGTCTTCGCTCTGCTGCTCTCTCTTTACCTTCCCTTCTCGCTGATGGACCCACCTTTCATCCAGACACTCTCATTGACTTTTTGACAACAACTGACTGACTTCACAAATTCTGATACCTTCAGCCCTTTCTACTTCAATCTCTTGCTACCTTCTACCCCCGTACTATCCCCTGCCCCGCTGTTTTCTGTAACCTATTGATCATCCCTCCTCCCTTCTGCCATCCAGTACCCTCGCTTCCTTCCCTACCCTGCAGCGCTGTATAGCCCTTGTGGGTTAGCGCTTCTTTTTGATTATAATAATAATAATATACAGTGCCATTGCAGCATAATAATACAGAAAATAAATTATGAGGAGCAGTAACATCCATATCCAGTTAATGACATTTAAAATTTTATTCTTTTGTTTACGTAAGTACAGTATAGTACTTTATGAATATTGGCTCTTCACGGCATTTTGATTGGACTATACAAACTGGGTATTAACCCTTTGACTGTTTCGGTCGTATATGTACGTCTTACGCACCACTGTTTCTGACATATTTATACGCATAAATTCTAGCGGCTTCAAATCAAGCGGGAGAAAGCTGGTAGGCCCACATGCGAGAGAATGGGCCTGTGTGGTCAGTGTGCACCACATAAAAAAGATCCTGCAGCACGCCGACTTTGAGGTGTATTTTCGTATAGTATTTATCATTGTATTCTCGTTTTCATGGTCTCAGGTGATAAAATGGAAAACATATTACAGAAATAGAGATGATTTTGATTACTTTCACGATGAAAACAACCTTGAAATTGAGCTCTAAGTAGTGGAAATGTTCAATTTTTACCAATGTTCAGGAGTACGCAAATCACACCACACGTGCAATACACTTCAACTGGGGAGTCTAATATTCTTTCACTAGTGCACTGATATTATTTATACCATTTTTACAATAATGCAGTAGTCTGCATAACAGTAAATTTTGTATTTTTTTGTATGAATAAAAATCAATAGAAAGCAATAGTAATATTGGGTAGTTCAGATCAGTAAATGGGCAGTTTCTTGTACTCAACAGATAGACAAAATGGAGTTCTAAAGAAATAGCTATGAGTTTGGTCAACTGGAACAACGGAATTGGCCAAAAACAGGGCTCAAATTCGGCGAAATCGCCAATGCGTATATGTCACCTAGACCGCTAACTTCGCAGGAGCGTAATTCCGCGAGTTTTCGACCAAATTTCATACTTTTGGTGTCATTACCATTGGGAAAAGATTCTCTATCATTTCATAATAATTTTTTTTTTTTCCAAAAATTTATCGACATAGAATGACAATTTCAGAGAGGGGCCTGCAACAGTCAAAGGGTTAATGTTTTGAAGGTAAATCATATTGATTTTTTTTTTTGTAAAGCTGTAAATAAGTTAGTTTTTAAACTTTCAAGCCTGATGTAAATTTTATATTTATGGTAGCTGTTACAAAGTTAAGAATTTTGTAGTGAAATTGATAATTTCTAACTAATGTAACAGTGAAAGCCCCACTTAAGTTAACTGAATGTTTTGTATTTCTTTGGGGGGAAAGCTGTATAGCCCTTGTGGCTTAGCGCTTCTTTTTTGATTATAATAATAATAAAATTTTGGGGGAAAAAGTGTTGAAAGTCAGACATTTTCTTTAGGTCAACATCATGCACTGTTTAGATTTGTAGCCCTTTGAAATGTTAGTTATTTTTTTTTTTTATTTTTTTAGTTGTTAGTATTTCATTCTACAAATTGCTGTATAAAATCTTTTAATTTTTTTTTTTATCTTTGCTGCATACATTTTGTATATAATGTATTATACAAATTTTAAATTTTCAGGCTAATGAGTGAGCCTATATTAACATTTTTATTGTATGAAGGTCAGTATTGTAAATTAAGAATATTAGTTTTCATATACAGTAGTCTTTTCCAGATGAGTCAATAAGCTGAAAATATAAACAAATCATGATGCTGCCTTAAGGACACAGCATAGAATTTTCTAAGTATGAGAATTATATTTGCTACTAGTGCACACAACATTGAAAGCAAAGTATTGTACAGTATTATATGTAATGTTTGTCACTTGAGCATATGTAAACTGGTAATGTGTATACTGATACTGTCATTTTCAAAGTAATGTTTACACTCCTAATGTCAAGGCATTATTTACCAGTAGTATTATATATGTTTAGGGCAAAATAATTATGACATTCTTATTTGAATTTTTATTAATGTTTGGCATTGTTTTACCAAATCAATATTTTTACCTCATGTAGTTTGAAAAGATCCTATGAATAATTTTTTTAAAATATTTTTCAGGCTGGTGCTCTTTTGACTTAAATCTTACAAACTTCATTACCTTGTATATATATTCCAGTTTGTTTTGTTCCTTTTGATGAATCAAAAATCTAAAGTTTGTTAAGCTCATTAATTTTACTTAGTCTTTCTGTGATCTAGAACATGTGTCCTCAGCGTCACTGTTATTAGTGAATCACCCATGTTACCTTTCCATTATTAATGGAGTTTTAAAGGATTTCAATCCAGTCTATGCCCTTTTACATATCAAGAAAAAACAATTAGCTGGAATCCTACAAACTCATGCTTATGACAATTTTCCAGTACAGTAGAATCTCTTACTCATTTCAGATCTTTTGCCTTCTTATAGACTGTGAAATGTTACTTCTGTAAACACTGAGCCCAGTACTATTGTATATTGGATAAATGTTAACCTTGTTTCATGTAGTGCCTCTAAAAGCTCATGCATTAAGCAAGATGATATTCAACCCCTTTTTACTTCAATAATGGAATCGTATTTTCTTTGAACACTGTAAGGTTTACATACTTTTTGCATTTCACGAGACTTGGACAATTTGAAATTCACTGCCTCTCTTGAACTTTGCATATTTCATGGGCTTTTTAACATTAAAAAGTCATGTATCCTGTCACATTATGCTACTCTTCTATTGTGGAATGTTTTTGCTTTATGTAAGCATTTCAAGGTTCTTAGGCTCCTAATATCATATGCGTACATTTAACCCATAACTAAACATTTTTCTTGACTCTATGCAATCCTAAACATTTAGCTGTATATCTTGATCATGCATTGTTTATCTTTATTAATATATATTACAATCCTCATTTATCAATATTACATGCATTCCTTATAGTTAATACAAACTATTTAATTCAGTGTGAATTAAGTTTTAAAGCAACCTAAATTATTTATTTCAAAATCTTAGTAAATTTTAACACTGTATACCCCAATCTCGAGTTCAATTCCTGGAGTGGGATTCTTTCATTAGTAAATTAAAAAAAATATTCATATTGTATATCTTTATATATTTTTAAATTTATTATTTGGGCTGAAGTGCAGACATAGTTTAAGCTTATTAAGTTTGATATTTTTAATTGTCTTTAAAATATAAGGCAAATTTTCAAACCAGCTAAATGTCATTTTGTAATCTCGAGATTTTGGGAACTGCAGCAATTTTTTTTCCCTTTGAAAAACAAATGTATTTGTCATACCTGTTTCATTTTGCCAATGTGTGGGTTAATAATTCACAATATGGTAATTTCACTAGTAGCAGAAAAAATTGCTCCAAGTTCTTTGGTATAGAAAAAAATACAGCCTCTCCTCACTTAGCGACATACTCGTTTACCGATGCCTTGGACTTACGATGGGCTCCATGACCTGTATTCATACCTAAATAATGTATATTAGAGATGATTTCCTCTATTCTGTTTATTTCAGTACAGTACACTACTTTATAAACATTTAAAAATATACCAGAAATTTTATAAATGATGCAAAGGTGACTTTAAAACAATATCAAAGATGGTTGACACAAACCCACTACCATTATAGTATGGTCATCATTTAGTGACTGATTCATTTACCGACGTGGTCTTAGAAACGGAACTCTGTCGTTAAGTGAGGAGAGGCTGTAGTTTAATAAATTACTGTCTATTTATTCATCTAGCGATTACAAAGTTGCCAGTTGTAGAATGTATATTATGTAGTAACTACAGGAAATATAGAAAAATGTTTACTTTTTGATTTTTGGTTAATATAAATTTGGAAAACTGCAGCCAGTCAAATGCAATACATGTTGGATCATAAGGCGTTATGAAAATATATAAGGAATAAGACTTTATTTATTCACTGCCAAATATGACAATATAAAATAACTAAAATATAAAACATCAATACCCTAAAAGTTTATTTTATTATCACATTCCATATAAATAAAATGTTTAGCACTTCTTGATAATATATATTTTATAGGTGTGAAGTTATTAAAAGTATTGTTTAGAGGGCTGAAGAGGGATTATTGAGGAGGTTGGGTCATTTAGAGAGGTGGAGCAAAATAGGTTGACTTGGAGGGTGTATAAATCTGTAGTGGAAGGGAGGAGGGGTAGGGGTTGTCCTAGGAAAGGATGGGAGGAGGGGATTAAAGAGGTTGTGTGTGCAAGGGGCCTGGTCATGCAGCAGGCATGTGTGAGCATGTTAGATAGGAGTGAATGGAGATGAATGGTTTTTGGGGCCTGACAAGCTGTTGAAGTGAGACGAGGGTAATATTTTGTGAAGGGGTTCAGGGAAACCAGTTAGCTGGACTCAAGTCTTGGAGGTGAGAAGTACAATGCCTGCACTTTAAAGGTGGGGCTTGGGATATTGGCTGTTTGGGGTGACATCTAAACTGTCATATCTGGGTGCCTCTGCAAAGACAGTGATATTGTGCGAGTGATGGTGAAAGTGTTTGCCTTTTGGGTCACCCTGACCCCTGTTGGTTTAGCGCTTTTTTTTATTATAATTGGGTCACCCTGCCTTGGTGGGAGACAGCAGTCATGTTGAGGAAAAAAAAAAATAACTTCTTATGGTGTATATAAAGGTTTTGCAAATATTTTTCATGTGTTGAACTACAATCTTAGGGTTGTATGATCCATACAAGTTTAGTGCTTTGTTGTGAATAGTTTGTATATAAAATTGACCCTAGTGGGTTTAGCACTTGGTTTTGTTGATGTATATAAATTTTTGTGCATTTTTTGATGGAAATGCAAATATTTAACAAAGGTTAGATTTCTTTAATCTTAGACTTAGGATGCATACGTAATATTGCTGTAGTTTATTAATGGTATTTTTCAATATTCACATTTCTAGTATCAATTATTTTTATTTATTATATGGATTATGTTGTAAGGGTGATAAAAGAAGAGTGCCAAGGATTGTTTTTAGTAAATTATTTAATACTAATCATATTTTCTTTATATGCATCATAATAAAATATTTACACTGCAGAGGAATATCAGAATGCTTTGACAAATATTCAGGTGATATGTTTTTAATTAAAATAGCTTCAAATAAGGCATTAAAATCAAATCTGAATTTTGGATGTACCTAATGTATAGATCAGTTAAAAAAAAATATGCTCCATATGAAACCACTCAAAGATATATTAGATGAAAAGACAAAAGTTCTATTAAACCATGGCATATACATACCAATGTATAATGTATATATTCAAGATTATTATTTTGCAAGATTTTCATACCTTGCTAGTGTACTCAGTGCTTACAGTAGAAAACAACTGGTATTCTTGCATTATCTTCACTTCCGCTCAGTAAATGAAAACTTAAGTGGTTTTGAAGGCATGTACACAAGCTTGGATACAAGGTCTATATCCTCATACTTGTAGTCGACATTGAAGCGGTGCATTACCTGGAGAACATGAGCAGGGAGCATATTGCTGTAAATACAGATGAGGAAATAGAAAAAGGAGAAAAAAATAAATGGTAAGGGTAACTGATCTACCTTTACATATATCTTGAAAGTTAAATCATTTAACCCACTTGTTCCAGAAATGCTATACATTCACCCCTTTGACCTCTTCAAGGGGGGGGGGCTCCTTGGCATGGTGAAGAGGCTCTAATTACCCCCCCAATCCCCCCTACCCTATCCCTTCCCTGTTCCTTCCTTTTTTTGGCCTTTGGGGTTCTTCCCACAGGCAATCTAGTTCCTAGGTAGGGGGAAGGGTACCGTGGTCCAGCCCATTCCATTGAGGTTCTTGGCGGTGGTGTAGTTTGCCGTGGAATCTGGATCGCCTGGGGATGTCCCGATCCCCCTCCGGTCAACAGCGGGGTGGCTTTGGGTGTCTTTCGGGCGACGGGTGTATCTCTGGAGGCTGCCTTTCGGATTCCGGGGGTGGTAGCCAAAGGAGGTATGCTTTGTGGCGGGTATCCAGCCACCTTCTCTTTTTGTCCACCAAGGTGGCACGGCGGATGTGAGGATACTATCCTGGATTGCTGGTTTACTGGCATGAAGGGCAGGGTATGGCACAGGTTCCATGCCGCATCTGTGCTACTTGCGGTGCTGAGGTCCTCTTGGATGCAGAAGGAGATTTTAGGCCCTTTCATTCCTCCTAGGAGCTATTCCTCCCCGTTCCCCCCTTTTTTATTTTATTTTCTTTCTTTTTGTTTTTAAGAAAAAGAAAGAAGTAACCTAACCATGGAAGACCCAATCCATGAACCTGCTACCCCCGGGCCCCTTACTAATACCGCGCCCTGTTCTGACCCCGCCTCGTTTTTTGACCACTCGTCGGACACTTCTAATGCCCCTGTACCTCTTGCTGGTGCTGTTTCATCACCAGCTTCAGGAACTGGGGTTTCGACTGATTCCTTCGATTTGTCTGACCTCCACTTTGACTATGCTTCCAGCCTCTCCCTCTATGTTGTGGCAATTTTCGAATTGCCAGCCCGTTCCACGTCAGACCGACTCCGGTCCCACTCCTAAATACCCACGACAATTATCTGATGATACTTCTTCGCTTCCTTCTCGCCCTCCTCAGAAAAAACGACACGTCATGCACTCCCTTTCCACGCTCAGTTTCGAAATGTTCAATGGATTAAATTCTTTACGACCAACTTCCTCTACTGCCTATCTTTCCGACCATAGTATTGGCAAGGAGCTCCTACACCATGTTGGTAGAGATATATCCTTTCACGCTCTCAAGAGCAGTACACTCATCATTACTGTCCAGAATGCTAACCAAATTCCTGACCTTTCTCCTCTTTCACATATCGATACTATTCCTATCAGTATTGGAAAACATCATTCCCTCAATTCTTGTAGTAGCACTGTCATTATGCCCCATACCATTGTCCAACAGAATTTCAAGACGTGGCGATGACATTCTGGAACAGCTGGAACTCCAGACCTCCCAATCCTCAAAGTAGACACTTACGTCCTTCCTGCCTGCGGGCGGAGACAACACCCTTGCAATGTAGCTCGATTAACTTAATGCCGTGAACTCCCATCCTCTGTTTATGTAGCAGGACATCGTTTACAAGTTCGAATGGTGATTCCTCCACCGCAAGTGTAGAAATTGCTTGCAATTTGGTCACCCAGCGAAATATTGCAGATCTATAGCCGAATGCCCAGTATGTGGTGCCGATGACCATTCTAATACGTATGTCTTGTAGCCGACCTCCCTTTTGCCCTAATTGTCATGAGGCTCACCCTTCTTACTCTCGCTGTTGCCAGGTCTACTTAAATGAGCGAGAAATCCATTGCCTCAAAGTGGCAGTTTCTCATCTACGCCTGCAAGAGAGAGACCCCCATATTTCTTATTCTCGTGTTTCTAAACGTCCTCCCACCTCTGGGGTCCAATCTTCTGCAGCCTCCTCTGTGGTTACCCCTTCCATAGTCACTCCTGTGTCTAATTCTTTTGCTGTCCTGGGCTCAGAAGTCCCTGCCTCAACACCTCAGTCTGTTCTCACTTCATGTTCTCCCTCACAAGCCCTGGTATTGACAAGACCTTGTACAACACCTCCCAATCGCCCCTCTACTTCTCAAAAGAACAAAAAATCTCCTTTAGCCCCTCCTTCCCTTCTTCTCCCTCTACATTTTACCTTTCCAGTCTCTCTACCTGGTTCTTCACCTCTCACTAGCTGTTACAAGTGTGGAGGTTCACCCTCCTCCTCGTATGGTACCTTCCTCCCCTGTCCCCTCCCAAGTTTCTTCCTCTTCTGCTCCCTCGCTAGTTTCTTTCTCTTCTGTCTCTTCCCACACTTCTCCAGTGCCCCCACCCCTTCATCCTCCCCTACTTGGTACAGTCCATTGCTGTCCCAATCTTTACTCAGCTTCTTCCTCCTATCTCCAATACTGTCTCCCATACAATGTCTTCGACTTTTGTAATGCTTGAAGCTATCTCAGAATATACTGAAGAGACTAAACCATCAATGGACACTGATCCTCCTCCTCTTCCCTCTCCTCCATCTGCGCAACTCCTTTCTTCGCAGCACTCCGTTCCTTCGCTGCTTGAACGTTTTCTGCTGCCACCACATGAGGACTTTTCTAACCCCTCTAGTCCGTAGGTACCCTTACCTGCGGATTCCTGGTATCTCGTTGCCAATCATGGCCTATTTACAGTGGAATATCCACAGCCTCGGGTAATCAGGGTGAGCTTCAGATGTTGTTCTCCCGGTTTTCCCCTGTTGGTGTTTGCTTACAAGAACCAAAATTACACTGCTGTTTTCCATCTCATCTCAGGCTATGATTTATTGCATTCTTCAAATCCTTTTTCTAATGGGACCTTTAATGAAAGTGCCCTTCTACGCACTGACATTCCATACCATTGGCTATTTGTTCATACCTCACTGCATTACACTGCAGCCCGTATCCACTTGAATAAGTGGAATACAATCTGTTCTTTGTATCTCTCTCCTCGGGCATTATCTATCCCAGATTTTGCCTTAATTGTTTCGTCCTTACCACCACCACCTCTGTTACTTGGCGATTTTAATGCCCATCATTTCCTCTAGGGGGGGGGGGATCTCACTGTGACTCACGTGGCATTCAGTTGGCAGCTTTTCTCGCTTCTCACCGCCTCCATGTTTTAAATATGGGTACTCCCACCCATTTTGATCATCGTACTCGTACTCTCTCGCATTGATCCCTCGGACGGCTCTTCCTCCACTGCACTTGACTTCATCTGGTTTTACATGACAGCGATCATTTTCCAATCATTCTTATTTCTCCTTCATATTCATCACCTCTTCATAGCCCATGCTGGCAGTTTGATGAAGCAAATTGGGACCTTTACTCACAACTAACTGCTTTTAGTGAGGTTCCTTCTTCATCCTCCATTGATAGAGCTTTTACACCTCTTCTCAACGTCAGTTTTAACTGCAGCTTCTAATTCTATCCCCTAAACCTTGGGCAGGCATTCTCAGAAGTGCGTGCCATGGTGGTCTCCTGCTTGTGCTTGGGCAGTATGTTTGAAACACGCTGCATGGGGCAGGTACCGGTACAATAGAACCACAGAGAGACTTCTTGATTTTAAGCAGAAGTGAGCAGTCGCTCGCTGTGTCATCCGTGACGCTAAATGCACTTGCTGGCAAGATTATGTTTCCACCATCACCTCGGCTTCCTCTATAAGTGCAGTCTGGAAAAAAGTGCAGAAACTGAGTGGTAAATACTCTCCTGACCCAGCTCCTGTTCTGCAGGTTGCCGGTGTTGATGTAGCAAACCCTCTTGACATTGCCACTGAAATTGGCAATCGTCTGGTCTGTATTTCTCGGGCTCCATCTATTCCACTCGTTTCTTTCCTCAAAGTCTGCCAGAGAGTTAGCACCCTTAGACTTTTCTTCTTTCAAAGAAAAATATTATAATGTGCCTTTTACACTTCTGGAACTGAAGGCGACACACACAGCTTGCCAATCATCTGCAGCTGGGCCTGATGGCATTCATAGTCGGATGTTACAACTTTTACATCAGTCAGCCCTTACAGCCTCTTCAATCTTATTTGGTCACAAGGAATTCTTTCCCAGCTGTGAGTGTCCCGTCAGGGAAGGTTCCTTGATGGTGAGGGGCTCTTGATTTAGGGAATTGGATCTGTGCTCCAGTTCCTCGAATTAAGCCTGAATGCCTTCCATATCCCCCCCAGGCGCTGTATAATCCTACGGGTTTAGCGCTTCCCCTTGATTATAAAAATAATTTCCCAGCGGTGGAAATCTGCCATTGTTCTCCCTTTCTGCAAACCGGTACTACGGGACATAATGCCTCTCACTATCGTCCCATTGCTCTTACCAGTGCAGTTTGCAAAGTGATGGAACATCTGGCAAATCGACGTTTAATATGGTATTTAGAGACGCACAACAGTCTCTCCACTAGTCAATATGGCTTTTGTATGGGCCGTTCTACCATAGACCCCTTACTACACTGGGATACGTATGTTCGTAATGCCTTTGCAAATAACCACTCAGTTATTGCCATATTTTTTGACATTGAGAAGGCATATGAGAACTTGGAGGTATGATACTTAGGCCCAAACCCACTCCTTAGGTCTCCGAGGCAATCTATCATCCTTCCTTAAGAACTTCTTAACCGACAGACATTTCTGTGTTTGGGTTACTAATATGCTCTCCCCGGACTTTGTCCAAGCTGAAGATGTCTCCCCAGGGATGTGTTCTGAGCGCAACACTTTTTCTCCTTGTTATAAATGATTTGGCGCCTCTTCCATCCAATATTTGGTCATCACTATGTTGTTGACTGCTATTGCTTGTGCAGGCACTGACTGTCACCTCATTACAGTTTCTCTCCAGCATGCGGTCGACCGTGTTTCCAACTGGGCCACCACGCATGGGTTTAAATTTTCCAGTACTAAAACTCGCCAAATTATTTTCACTAGACGCTCTGTCATCTCCGATCATCCTTTGTAC